GAGGTCAGAGGAAAACTCACCACCTCTGTCTGAGTGCAGACGCAGAACAGGAGGTCCGAGCCGAAACGCTCGCTGAGCTGGCGACGGGTACTGCGGATCCAGTCGATCAACACCTCAGTGACCTCACCCTTGCGGCGCAAGGGGAAGACTGTGGTGTAACACGAGTAGTCGTCAACGACCAGCAGGAAGTAACGCTCGTGACCCTGTCCACGGACGCCGGCTGGGCCCTACACGTCCATGTGAAGAGTCTGCAGGGGAGCCTCTGTCGAAGGGAACTCGGAGGAGTGAGGAGCGGCGCGCTGCCGGCCCTCGACACAAGGAACACAGGTGGGGGCAGGCCCCGGAGGAAGGGGAGGGAGGGACCGGGGGAGACCAGAGACAAAGGTACGGGAGGCCATACCTCGAAGACGAGGCAGGGAGGGGTGACCAAGGCGGTGGTGCCAAAGGAGAGTCTCGTGTGACAGAGGACGACACGAGCAGGGGGCCGACGCTGGACTAGACCTGAACGCGGCAGAAAACACCTGACCAGACGCGGCTACCTGACTAGACGCAGTAACCGGAGGAGACGCAGTAGTCAGTGTGTACAGACTCGACCCAGGCCGACGGGTGAACGTGGCCAGGTGGCGGCCCGTCCGAGAGCAAGTGCAGTGGGTCGCACGCTGACCTTCAGGGGTGAACTGGTCAACCCACGCGTCCTGGAGGTCAGCTCCACACACCAAGTTCGTAGAGAACGTGGGGAGGTGGAGTCCGGACAGCAAGCCCGACGGGGCCGCAGGACACGGTAGAACCGTGGAAGAGTGCGCAAGGACTGGGCCCCCAGAGGGGTCAGCCAGGGAGAGTGCGACAGGCCAACAAAGCGGCGTGAGCGTGGTGCTGTCGCGAAAGAAGGAGCGCGAAGCACCAGAGTCAAGTGTGAAAGTGTGCAAGGCCTCAGTAGGTGCAGTACCAGAGAGAGCAGACTCACCAGCACCTGGAGCAGCAGACTCACCAGTACCTGGAGCAGCAGACTCACTAGCACCTAGAGCAGCAGCCTCAATGCCCGGGTTAGGGGGAACACACAGGTAGCAGTCACCCTCAGCACTATCAGTCACAGCATACATGGCAGCAAGGATAGCATCGAAGTCAAGATCAAAGATACCAACATTCTGCCTAAGCAGATCACCCCAGCGAGGGAGCTCAACAGCGGCAGGAAACTGGGCGCGCCAGGCGTCAGTCAGGCGACCGAAGCAGCGCTGCGCAGTGTGTGGCAGCCGGCACGTCTCCCCACGGCGCCCGCCGGTGCGAAGAACGTAAGTGCAGGGACCAACACCCCCAGACCTCCCACGCCCAGCGTACCACTCACGAAGCTGCTGGGCCGACGGGGTCTCACGGGAACGCGGCTGCTGCTGGCGCTGGCTACCACCAAAGCCTCCACGCTGCGCGGCTCCACCTCGACCAGCACTACCGCCGCCGCCACCTCCACCACCGCTGCCGCTGCCTCCACCGCCGCTGCCGCTGCCTCCACCACCCCCACTGCCGCCACCGAAGCCCCCACTCCCGCCACCACCCCCACCTCCACCGCCACCCCCTCCGCCTCCTCCGCCGCCTACACCGCCGCCCCCACCGTCCCCTCCACCACCCTTGCCCCCCTTGCCCTTGCTGTTGCGGCGCCTCCCACTAGGAGCAGACGCAGCCCCGACCTCCTCAGTGCCAACGAGGTCGACAGCAGCAGCAGAAGCAACAGAGGGGAGAAGGGGGACAGGGGAACACCCCTCAAAGAAAGGGGCGCGAGGGTCACCGTGAGAAGCACCTACAGCAACGATACTCTTCTCAGATACAGTGAGGCGCTCCTCTAGCAGGTCGACAGTGAGCTCGGTGGGGCAAAGGGAGAGAAAGTGGTCCCTGACTGAAGCAAGGGAGTCATGGAGGCGGGTCACTAGGTAGTAAAGGGTGATGTACATGGGGGGGGGGTTCTTGGCACAGAACTCAGTGGGAAGCGCAGCTCGGTAGCGGGCGTCACTAGTGCGGAGGTGAGTAATGAGGTTAGCGACTGTGGCAAAGGCGGCAAGGTCAGGGAAAAGGTACGGCAGCATGAGGCGGCTGAGGGCAGCAGTGGCAGGGGAGGAGTAGCACGCTACGACAGCGTCATACAAAGACTGAGCAGTCTTGTACTGGCCAAAGTGCGCGCGCTCAGCAGACGGCAGGTGACTACGAACAGCAAGGCGAGCAACAGCGTCACGAGTGGTCCACTGCGAGCGAACCGTACTATCAGCAGTAGCAGCAGGTGCAGTAGAGACACCAGACGTGTGATCGAAAAGGGATACCCCGTCCCTAGAGTCACACTGAAGAAAGAGCTGCAGGTCGTCAACCCACACGTCAAAGTCAACCGCACGCCCCTCAGCATCAAAGGTAAGAACAGTAGGGCTAGCCATAGCGGCAGCAGCAGCAGGAGCAGCAGTAGCAGCAGTAGCAGCAAGAGCAGTGCAGGCAGTGCAGTGCGGCTCAGTAGGGCGGCGCGGCTCGGCAGGGCGGCGCGGCTCGGCTGGGCGGCGTGGCTCGGTAGGGTGGCGCGGCTCGGCCGGGCGGCAAGGGTGCTTACCAGCAGCTGGCGGTTAGATCAGGGCCGCGACTGGGGCGGCAGCAGGGCAGGGCCGCGACAGGGCGGCTGCAGGGCACGGCCGCGTAAGGGCGGCTGCAGGGCAGGGCCGCGACTGGGCGGCAGCAGAGCAGGGCTGGGACAGGGCGGCTGCAGGTCAGGGCCGCGACAGGCGGCGAAGTCAGGGCCGCGGCGAGCGGCGACGAGCCAGCGACGGGCGGCGACGGGCCGGGACGGGCCGGGACGTGCCGGCGACGGGCCGGGACGAGTCGGGACGGGCCAGCGATGGGCGGCGACGGGCCGCGACGGGCCGGCAATGGGCCGGGATGGGCCGGGACGGGCCACCGACGGGCGGTGACGGGCCGCGATGGGTCGGCGACGGGTGGCGACGGGCCGCGACAGGCTGGCGACGGGCCGGGACGGGCTGGGCCGGGACGGACCGAGACGGGCCAGCGGCGGGCCGCGACGGGCCGGCAACGGGTGGCGACGGGCCGAGACGGGCCAGCGACGGGCCGGGACGGGCTGGGACGGGCCAGCGACTGGCGGCGAAGACAGGTCCGCGACGGGCCAGCGAAGGCAGGGCCGCGACAGGCGGCACTAGGGCAGGGCGCGCGACGGCGCAGGTGAGGCAGGCGCTAGGCGCGCTTCGGGCAGGGCAGGAAAAAAAATCGTGGTGGGCCCTAAAAAAAAAACGTTCCCACGAGGGAACCTGCTCTGAATACCATGTCAGAATATTGAAGGAAGGAATGACTGAACTAGCAAGCAGGTGGGTACAAGTAGGAAACCTAAAAGTGTTGTACCCTATATGAACTACCCCACTACAGCCTAGACAGACTATAGCATATATGTTTGACAGTGTACACCACAATTGGTGTACAGTGATAAAAGTCTAAGCATGCTATAATATATTTTCTAACACAACCCCTTATCATGCGAAGACAAGAACAAGACAACCTCTGAATCAAGGGGCACCCGGGCGAGCAAGGCCAATGAGGCGGACCAGGGCAGAGTGCACAGGGCAAGGGAGAGCCGTGGTGAAGATGTTGGCGAGATTGGTCTCGGCTGCAATCTTCCAAACAGCAAGAAGTCCCTGCTGAACAAGCTCGCATATGAAGAAGTAGCACACTTTGATGTGCTTGGAGCGGGCGTGGTAGACAGGGTCCTGGGTGAGATGGATGGTGATGGCGTTGTCACACCAGAGGGTGGGGCAGCGCTAAGGAGCGCCCAGCTCAGCAAGAATCTTAGGGAAGGTGTTACGCAACACTACGGTTGATGCACCGCTGACCCCTCGCATTGCCATCTCTTATACATGTGCGCCATCGAGCCCTCTTGCTGCCTCCACGCCCCCAATAGTTCTGAGTTCCAAGGGAGCCTGAGTTCCAAGACTGGGGTGAGGACGCCTCCAGCAAAGCAGTGCCGACACAAAACACACGCTTGATTTGTCAGAGGTTCACTGGTGATCCCCGATTGATCCTACGGAAGGGTTACAGGCTCGTTGTCCTTGGGGGCTATGGGCGCACTGACCCGCTACTTAACAAGCCCTTTTATCCCAATGGTCTAGTGGTTGGGATTCTGACATGGTATCAGAGCGAAGGTCTCGGGTTTGAATCCCAGTGTGTGCACTTCGGGCATCCCAGTGCGGGGGGGTGTCAGAGGTCCACTGGTGATCCCCGATTGATGCTAGGGAAGGGTTACAGGCTCGTTGTCCTGGGGGGTTATGGGCGCACTGACCCGCTACTTAACAAACCCTTTTATCCCAATGGTCTAGTGGTTGGGATTCTGACATGATTAACACAGCGCTAGATATGGGCGGGCCGGGCATGGCCATTGCAAATGCTATGGTCGAAAACATAGCATCCGCTATAAGCTCCGCGGTTGATCGTGCATGCGACCTTTTTGAGGAACTCACCCGATCCTTGGTCGTGTCATGGTCGGGTGGGACTGCACCCACCCCAAGTGCAGCACCTAGGCAAGCTGATCATGTTGGCGCTTGGAGTAAAATCGGGTGCTCCAGTAGTGAGGGGACGGTCAATCACCATCGGTGCTCGTCATGCGGAGGGCCGGCCCTTGGACGAATCCCAAGAAGATTATCGATGTTGTGCTGGACACAATATGCCCCACAAGTCTGCGGCACCTTGTTTGGGCACAAGGCCGTCGATGATCCTGAATTTCCCTGTCATTCATGCCCTGCTTTGCTGTTTGTTGAAGATAGCCTCGGCATCGCGCAGATTGCTGCCTAAGGAACTTTGTAGGGTTGTAGCACACAAAAATCGTTGTTTCTGAAAGATATGAACATGGAATTTTCTGTGTGGGGCAACGATTCCACTAGGGATCGAACCCAAAATCTCTGATTCCGTAGACCGACGGCTTATCCATTGGGCCATGGAGTCGCGAATTCTGCGATGTAAAGTTATTTTATATTAATTTAATTAATGTACAACTGGTTATGGCATGGTAGCTGGGCAGCTCCTGAGTAGGTAGGGATGGCAGAAACTGGGGCTAAAGGAGCTGCAGAGGATAGGGCTGCATGCACGAGCCGGAAAGCACGGCCAGAAAGGGCGGCACAAGCCACAGCAGGGGCAGCAAAGGCCACATTGGGGGCGGCAGAGGCCGCAGCAGGAGTGGCGGATGCCGCTGTCAAGAATTTGAACAAGAATGATTGAATTGAGATAGAACTGAGTACAAGTACTAAACCTAATTGGGTTGTACCCCTTATGGGCTACCCCACTACAGCCTACACAATATAAGCATTATAACATTTTGACAGCCGTAGCAGGAATGGCAGTGGCCGTCTGAAGAAGGGGCAGCAGCAGGAGCCGCACCGGGAACGACAAGTGCTGCTGCGGATGGGGCTGAAGAAGCACCAGGACGGGCCTTAGGAGCTGCTACAGAAGCGGCAGCTCCTGATTTGGTGCGGATGGCAGCAGATGGGGCTGCAGGAACAATAGCGGGCGGGCGCGGGGCTGCAGGAGCACCTGCCACAATGAACTTTATACCGTATCCTTCGTGGATCGTGTGTAGTTATAGACATGCTTGCAAAAGATTTGGATTCAGAAGCTTGTTTCCGTTACCGTAAAGTTTTCCGTGCATATTGTATCATTTCGTTATGCTCGGCTACAGTTGATTTTTTTTTTGGGTTGCAAACACTATCATTACTATCCTTACTACTCACTGATTCCAAGTTTCGATTAATTCCCAGAGCAGCCTGTTCAGCCCTCACCAGCATTACCATCGCCCCCATCATCACTAGCTCTAGCATCAGCAGCATCATCAGGCTTGGCTTCCCCAGCAGCAACAGGCTTGGCTTCCCCAGCAGCACCAGGCTTGGCATCCTCCTGGGGGAGGCACAACTGCCGCAGGTTGTACTTGGCAAGGGCCTTGAAATCGTCTAAGATGGAGATGAAACAGATGGTCTGGGGGGGAGGGAGGGAGAGAACAGGGTGGGGTGGGGGAGGAAGAGGGGGAAGAGTAATATGGGGTAAACATTGTGCACTTGGCAAACAGATGGTCTGGGGAAGAGAGGGAATGGAGGGGTGGAATAGGGGAGACTGAGAGAATGATTTCAGTGAGGGAGAGGCTTGGCTTTGCTTCCCCAGCAGCACCGGGTTTGGCTTCCTCCTGGGGGAGGCACAACTGGCGCAGGTTGTACTTGGCTAGGGCCTTAAAGTCTGCGAGGATGGAGATGAAACAGATGGTCTGGGGAAGAGGGAGTGCAGGGGTGGAATGGGGGATACTGAGAACATGAATTGAGTGAGAGAGAGGGCAGTGGAGATAAGAAGAGTAAGAAGGAAAATGTGAATGGCGTCAGATAGCCTAGAAAACTTGGATGACGAACTCCATAAAAAAATGGCTTCGCCCGGACTTGAACCGGTGACTTTCAGTGTGTTAGACTAACGTGATAACCAACTACACCACGAAACCACATGAAGGATTAAAACACCTCATCTTAAGGAGGAAATGAGACTGCAATGCAAAGAAGCCAACGAAAACAAAAACAAAAACAACGGCGCATTTGGCAAGAGGCAAACTATTCACCAAGCAGACTACATCAGTAACATACGCCATGTCAAACCTCGCAAAACCAGATATACGGGGTACAGGCACCTGATTGGCATACCATTTGTTAATGAATTTACAGCGTGTACATGCATGCATGTCATACCTTCACCATTTGCAGCATGATGGTCTTGCCCAAGTTGTTTAAGTCCACTATATGGGGTACATGCCCCAGCTTGGCATACCATGGTCAATGAACACATAGCATGCATGCACGTCATACCTTCACCACTTGCAGCATGATGGACTTGTCAGGACGGCGGAGATCCGCTCTATGCAGAGCAGGCAGCACAAGATAAACCATACCACGATTGATAAGCACACAGAATGGTGCACGCCATACCTTCACCACTTGCAGCATGATGGACTTGTCTGGGTTCCCAAGATCCAATATATGCAGAGCAGGCACCAGCTTGGTATACCATGCCTACAGATGCACAGCCCGGTGCATGCACGACATACCTTCACCACTTGCAGCATGATGGTCTTGTCTGGGTTCCGGAGGTCCACTTTATGCGGACCGGGCACCAGGTTGGCTACAGTGTCGATCACGCCTGCTCTCTCAAGCCCTTCGTTGGCTCGCTTCTCAAAAATGATTCCGAACTGTACAGGAAGGAGAAAGCATGTAACGGGATGCAAGGGGTGCCTATAAAGAGGATGCACACTGAACCCAGAAGGGAAAGGTCAAGGCTGTCGTTGCATCACTTTAATAAGTTGGTCGCACAAAATATGTACAAAGGGAAAGCAGAGTGAGTTTGATAGTGGGTTTCAGTGTGTCGAGGATGAACAGAGGTGAGCCTGCAAGGGAAAGGTCAAGCTCTGTATCAACCAGAATTTCAAGCTGTACAAACTGGAAAGTAAAGCTCAGAGGAAGAATATCATAAGTAAAAATAGCTCCGGCGTTTGGTATTAGTGATGTGTAGTTTAACGAAGGGAAGGATCTTCTCTCTGATATGCGCTTCATCAACCTATGCAGACCTCATTTTCTGATTTTCCTGTTTATCTTTGGTTTTATGATGACTAAGTGCACAGGACGCAAATAATGGGTGGGATGTGTTATGCGCCTATAGGGAGGATGTGCATAGGGGGGATGTGCGCCTACAGGGATCATGTGGTCATCAACACACTCTTTTTGAGTCGACTTACAAAAGGGCGTGGGCATCAAAGCATCAAAGCCTTAAAGCCTGAACACACACCTTGAAGCGGAAAGAACGCGAGCAACGCCGTACCGAGGATGAACAGTGACCTATCGCAAAGCAAACCCCCTACCAATCGACCATACTCATACATACCGTTGATCCCTTGGGTTGGGCCTCTGACGTGTCGCTTGCTGATTGGCCGACCGGGGGGAAGTGGGCGGCAATGAGAGGCTTGATGGCTGAGGCGATCTCCTCCTGGGAGGCGTAGCACGTGGTTTCCACTGGCAGCAGGCGGAGGGTGAAGCTGCGGAGAGGTGAATGGAGCGGAGGGGAGAAGGGAGGCAATTAGTAGCAATGAAGCGGCTGGATGGGAAGGGATGAATCTCCTCCTGGGAGGCGTAGCACGTGGTGACTTTGAGTCAACTCAAAAGTTACTTGGGAAGGGATCAATCTCTTTCTGGGAGGCGAGTTGACTTTTGAGTAATGGTAATGGTAATGGTAATGGTAATGGTAATGGTAATGGTAATGGTAGTGGTAATGGTAATGTGAATGGTAATGGTAATAGTAATGGTAATGTGAATGGTAATGGTAATGATAATGGTAATGGTTATGGTAATGGTTACGGTTACGGTAATGGTAATGGTAATGATAATGGTAATGGTAATAGTAATGGTAATGGTAATGTGAATGGTAATGGTAATGATAATGGTAATGGTTATGGTAATGGTAATGGTTATGGTAATGGTAATGGTAATGGTAATGGTAGTGGTACTGGTAATGGTAACGGTAATGGTAACGGTAATGGTAATGGTAATGGTAGTGGTACTGGTAATGGTAACGGTAATGGTAATTGTAATGGTAATGGTAATGGTAATGGTAGTGGTACTGGTAATGGTAACGGTAATGGTAACGGTAATGGTAACGGTAATGGTAACGGTTATGGTAATGGCAATGGCAATGGTAAGGGCAATGGTAATAGCAATGCTAATGGCATTGGTAATGGTAATGGTAATGGTAGTGGTAATGGTAATGGTAATGGTAATGGTAATGGTAATGGTAACGGTAATGGTAGAGGTAATGGTAACGGTATTGGTAACGGGAATGGTATCAGTGGATGGGAAGGGATCAATCTCCTTCTGGGAGGCGAGTTGACTTTTGAGTCTACTCAGAAGTCGGCTGGAAGGGAAGGGATCAATCTCCTTCTGGGAGGCGTAGCACGTGGTTTCCACTGGCAGCAGGCGGAGGGTGAAGCTGGGGTGGGGGAGGGGAGGGTTGAATGGTGCAGAGGGGAGAAGGGAGAGGAGGCTGGTTGGCAAAAGGTGGAGGGAGAGGATGCATGCCCTCCCAATCTCCTCCTAGGAGGCGTAGCACGTGGTTTCCACTGGCAGCAGGCGGAGGGTGAAACTGGGGAGGTGGGGGGAACGAGTGGGTGGGGAGGGGGGTGTTAATGGTGTGCAAGGGAGAAGGGAGAGAGAGGAGTCTGAATGGCTCTGTAGGGTTCTGTCTGGGAGAAGCTGCAGCGGTGGGGAGATGAAGGGTGTTGGGGGGGAGGGGAAGTTTGTGAATGGGTGCACAAGGGAGAGGGGAGAGGAGACTGAATGGCTCTGTTTGGTTCCTCCAGACAGACGTGGCATGGCATGTGGTTTCCACTGGCAGCAGACGGAGGGTGAAGATGGGGGAGGTGAATGGAGGGCAGCAGGTGGTGGATAGTGCACAGGAGAGGAAGGAGAGGGATAGGCTGAGAGGCACATATTCGGAAGGTGAATGGGAGGCGTAGCAGGTCGATTTCACATGCTGCAGACAGAGGGTGAGGCTGGAGAGTTGAGTGGATGGAGGGCAGGGGAGAAGGGAGAGGAGTCTGAATGGCTCTGTAGGGTTTCACTTGCTGCAGACGGAGGGTGAAGCTATGACGGACTATACGCTCTAGACCCTTTGCGCTTAGCGTATCCACGCTAGCGTGTACACGCAATACGCTAAACGCTAGCGAATACGCGATACGCAGCCATAAAAAATTTCGGGTGAGCGGATTTTCTTGGTGAGCATTTCGCCGAAGTCGAAATGCAAATCCGCGGTCTTGCAAGGTGGGATCTGACTTGGATTTTTTCAGGCACATCTGGCTATTCAAATGTCGAATTTCAGGTCCCATCTAGGCATTTGAACCCATCCCCTCTACCGCATTGAAAACCATCTTATCTACGAACCCCAACCTATCAAAATCGAACCCCCAACAAATCTCACACTACTTACCAGCCAACCCAACTCCTAACCCGTCATTTCCTACCTTGCATTCCCGCTTGCAGCAGTGTCCCCACGCACTCCAACTTGAACAGCCTCTCCAACACTACTCCCTCTAGCTATGATGTCTACTCCCCGCCCCACCCCACCCGCCGATCAGACTCAGGAAAATGCTAGGGCACGTCTTAGTGAGATAAGATAGGGGGTAATTTTTTTCCACCCTGCCCGAAATGTTTTTTCCCTGCCCGAAAAAGCGTATGCCTGATCCGACCCTCAAGCGTATGGCGTATACACGCTAGCGTATATACGATACGCATATATACGCTAAACGCGTATAATCCATCATAGGGGTGAAGCTGGAGAGTTGAGTGGAGGGCAGGGGAGAAGGGAGAGGAGTCTGAGTGGGTGGCTCTGCACGGTTGCTCCTCCTGGGAGGTTTGAGACATGGCTTCCACTGGCAGCAGGCAGCAGAGAGAGGGTGAGGTGAAGGTGCAGCGGCGGGGAGAAGAAGGGGGTGGTGGGGGGGCGGGAAGTGTGTGAATGGTACACAGGGAGAAGGGAAGGGAGGCTGAGTGGGTGGCTCTGCAGGTTTGCTCCTCCTGGGAGGCGTGCGACATGGCTTCCACTGGCAGCAGCTGGCGGAGGTGGGGGAATTTGAATCAAGGTTCAGAGGGGAGAGGGGGGAGTCTGAGTGGCTCTGCAGGGTTGTTCCTCCTGGGAGGCGTGAGACGTGGTTGCCCCTGGCAACAGACAGCGAACGGAGGGTAATTCACACCCACCGTCTCACACCCACCGTCTCACACCCACCGTCTAACACCCACCGCCCTGCACCTGCACGCACCGAGTGGCTGACTGCCGGGTGGCCTTGACATGCCTCACACACACGACACGAGTGACCCACAGGCTCACACGCATCACTACCGCCTCTCTTGCCCTCCTTACCTCATGCCTCAACAAGCACCGAGTGGCTGACTGCTGGGTGGCCTTGACATGCCTCAACAACACTTCTGCCATGCCAACTCACACACTCATCCCCTCCATTCTCTCCTCCCTTTTGCGCCCTCCTTGTCTCTCATCCCATGCCTCAACTCAAGTAGCCTCACACCCACCGAGTTGCTGACTGCTGGGTTGCCTTGGCATGCCGCAGCACCGCCTCTGCCAACTCACACGGCGACACCCTTCCCTGTTCTCCCCCTGCCTCCCCTTTCTCCCCCTCCCCTCCCCGTTCCTCCTTCTCCGGTTCCTTCTCTCCTCCTCCTGTAACCTCTTTCTCCTGCTCTTTCTCCTGCTCCTGTTCTCCGCCCTTATCCCCGCCATTATCTCCCTCCTTACCCTCCTTGTCGCCTTCACCCTTCTCCTCCTCCTTTCCCCGTTCCTCGTTCTTCCCCACCTCCTCTTTCTCACCCTCCACCTCCTTCTCCTCTCCCTCCTCCAACTGCTTTCCTCCCTTCTCTCCCTTCCCCCCCTTCCTGGCATCCTCTCTAATCCTCACGAACAGCAGCGCCTTGCAGCCAGACTCCACACTCACGAACCGAGGCTGAGAAGAACGGGAGGGACAAGACGAGGGACAAGACGAGGGACAAGACGAGGGACAAAGGAAAAAAAACTCTTTTCTCAAACAGCAGCGCCTTGCAGCCAGACTCCACACTCACGAACCGAGGCTGAGGAATGTCAAGGAGAGGGCGGCGGACGATAGGGGCAAGGGGAGGGCGGACGGTAGGGGCAAGGGGAGGGCGGACGGTAGGGGCAAGGGGAGGGCGGACGGTAGGGGCAAGGGGAGGGCGGACGGTAGGGGCAAGGGGAGGGCGGACGGTAGGGGCAAGGGGAGGGCGGACGGTAGGGGCAAGGGGAGGGCGGACGGTAGGGGCAAGGGGAGGGCGGACGGTAGGGCAAGGGGAGGGCGGACGGTAGGGGCAAGGGGAGGGCGGACGGTAGGGGCAAGGGGAGGGCGGACGGTAGGGGCAAGGGGAGGGCGGACGGTAGGGGCAAGGGGAGGGCGGACGGTAGGGGCAAGGGGAGGGCGGACGGTAGGGGCAAGGGGAGGGCGGACGGTAGGGGCAAGGGGAGGGCGGACGGTAGGGGCAAGGGGAGGGCGGACGGTAGGGGCAAGGGGAGGGCGGACGGTAGGGGCAAGGGGAGGGCGGACGGTAGGGGCAAGGGGAGGGCGGACGGTAGGGGCAAGGGGAGGGCGGACGGTAGGGGCAAGGGGAGGGCGGACGGTAGGGGCAAGGGGAGGGCGGACGGTAGGGGCAAGGGGAGGGCGGACGGTAGGGGCAAGGGGAGGGCGGACGGTAGGGGCAAGGGGAGGGCGGACGGTAGGGGCAAGGGGAGGGCGGACGGTAGGGGCAAGGGGAGGGCGAACGGTAGGGGCAAGGGGAGGGAGAAAGACGATGGGAGAGAGAGGAGGAGCCATAGGGATTTTCAGTGAGCATTCTCGCAAACAGCAGCGCCTTGCAGCCGCGCCTTGCAGCCTTAATGAACACTCACGAAGTTAGACCAGGTGGGAACGGGCAGGACAAGGGGAGGGACAAGACGAGGGGCAAGGAGAGGAAGAGGGAGGGAAAAGAGGATTGGGAGAGGCGGAGAGATGGGTGTTTGTGCTGCGGCATTTTTGCGAACAGCAGCACCTTGCAGCCAGAGGGGCATGCAGCCAGACTCCACACTCATGAACCGAGGCTCTGAGGGGCATGCAGAAGGAAGGGAGAAGGGAAAGGAGGACACGCGGAGGGGGGGATGCACAAGGGGAACAAAACAGAGGCACCTGGGAGCCTGAGCCGACGACTGCAAACGAGGCTGGGGGACACAGGGAGAGGAAACAAGTGGGAGAGAGAGGGAGGGATACGAGGAGAAGGAGTGGGAGGGATACGAAGAGAAGGAGTGGGAGGGAGATAAGAGGAGGGTGAAGGAACGCAAACGGGAATGCTGCCTCACGAACAGTGGACCTTTGTAGAAAGGGAAGGAGGATAGGGAGTAGAAAGGGAAGGAGGATAGGGATCAGAGGCAAGAAGTGGAAGGAAGGAAATGGAGGAGAAAGAAGGGGAAAAAATGGGAAAGCAGGGGAAAGGAGAAGAACGGAGGGAAACGGAGGGGAAAGGAGGCGAAAGAGAGGGGAAAGGAGGGGAAAGGAGGGGAAAGGAGGGGAAAGGAGGGGAGAGGAGGGGAGAGGAGGGGAGAGGAGGGGAGAGGAGGGAAGAGGAGGGGAGAGGAGGGGAAAGGAGGGGAAAGGAGGGGAAAGGAGGGGAAAGGAGGGGAAAGGAGGGGAAAGGAGGGGAAAGGAGGGGAAAGGAGGGGAAAGGAGGGGAAAGCACCACAGTGCACCACCTACCCATCCCACGCACCTGTGAGCCGCTGCAAAACACACACACCTGTTTCCTCACCCCCCTCTCCACACGCACCTGTTTCTTGAGTGCCGCCACTTCATTCGCCAGCAGAGCATCAATGGACGACCCTCCCTTCGCCTTCCCCTCCATTCCCTCAACACGCGCACGCACCTGTGAGGCTCCCCCTCCCCACACGCACCTGCTTCCTCACCCCCCTCTCCACACGCACCTGCTTCTTGAGTGCCGCCACTTCATTCGCCAGCAGAGCATCAATGGACGACCCTCCCTTCGCCTTCCCCACAGATGCACCTTCTCCAGTCGCTGCCTCCCCCCCTCCCTCCCCCTGCGCCTTGCCTGCCTCCAGCTTGCCGCACCACTGTGGGGCGAAAAGGGGAGGGGACATGCTTCTCGTGAGCACCACTGTGGGGCGAAAAGGGGAGGGGACATGCTTCTCGTGAGCACGTCCCCTGACAGGGTAGGGCCTTCTGACTCAACCAGTGTCTCCGGCTAAGAATCAACAGAAAGATCTGCCAAGTGACGGCTGTAACCAAACTCTAAACTCTACGATCGTGTCTACGTATCCCATGCGCTTAAAGCACGATGTGCTTGCAGACTTCTGACCCGATCCTCCCTCCTCCCTGCACTCAGAACCTTTGAAGGCTGTGTCCAAACCCTAAAATCTACGAACGTATCTCATGCCCCACGATGTGCTAGCAGACTTCTTGACCCGATCCTCCCTGCAACAGAAACCCTGCTTGACTAGGGGCTCTTGAAAAAAAATCCATCAAACAGGACTCTATACAGCTCAATAGATTGTGTATCCTATATTTCGGTCAGAAGTCGAAAATATACAGTCATCACTTCAACCCCTTGTCCCTAAACCCCAAACCGTAGTTTCCCTTCCATGTGTGCCTCACAGCTCACCCCACATCGTCCATGTGTGCCTCACCCCACAGGCTCACCCCACAGGCTCACCACAGATCGTCCAGCAAGTTGACAATCCACGAGAGTGGACCTCATGGGACACACACACATCGTACTACTCTTGGAAGGAACCCCATGAGAGTGGAACTGGAACCTCCTGGAACCGTACTACACCTTCAACTTCCTACACCCCCTCACCTCACCTCATGGAGCATGTTCACCGTCTCTCTCCCCCCACCCGACTCCCTCTCCCTGCCACTCACACTCCACACCACCCACCCCCTCACTGAAGCATCTGCGATCCTCCATTTCACCCTAAGCTCTAAACCTGCTGATCCCCTGTGCTCCTCACCTCCTGTGTGCCTCACCTCCTCCTGTGCGCCTCACCTCCTGTGCGCCTCACCTCCTGTGCTCCTCACCTCCTGTGCTCCTCACCTCCTGTCCTCCTCACCTCCTGTGCTCCTCACCTCCTGTGCTCCTCACCTCCTGTGCTCCTCACCTCCTGTGCTCCTCACCCCCTGTGCTCCTCACCTCCTGTGCGCCTCACCTCCTGTGCGCCTCACTTCATCGAGCACGTTCACAACCTCCCGTGAATTTTTCAGTCGACTCAAACGTCACCTTGATATGGTGCCATGCGATGTACACCGTTCAATATGGTGCCATGCGATTTACACCGTTCGATACGGTGCCATGCGATGTAAACCGTTCGATACGGTGCCATGCGATGTACACTGTGAACCCTTGACAATAAACCCCCATCATTTGCCTGTGCGCCTCACCTCATCCTGTTTCACCTCAGCGTGCCTCACCTCATCCTGTTTCACCTCAGCCTGCCTCACCTCATCCTGTTTCACCTCAGCCTGCCTCACCTCATCCTGTTTCACCTCAGCCTGCCTCACCTCATCCTGTACATTCACAATCTCCCGCCCGCACCCTCTCCCTGCCAGTCACACACCTTTAACCTCTTACCCCCCCCCCCCCCCCCCCCCCCCCCCTCACTGTGTGCTCCTGCCTCACCTCATCGAGCACGTTCACAATCTCCCGCCCGCACTCCCTCTCCCTGCCAGTCACGCTCGACACCAGCCAGCCCCTGTTGCCATTCGCGATAGGGCCCGCTCCTCCCCCACTCTGAGGGGCACGAGGGGGGGGAGCAGAAGGGGGAGGGGAACGAGGGGGAGGAGCAGAAGGAGGAGGAACAAAAGGGAGAAAATACTTTGATTCGACTCAAACGTCAACTTGCCCGCACTCCCTCAGTCACACTCGACAGCAGCCATCCCCTGCTGCCATTCGCGATAGGGCCCGCTCCTCCCCCACTCTGGGGGGCACGAGAGGGAGGAGCAGAAGGGGGAAGGAACAAAAGGGAGAAATTACTTTGATTCGACTCAAACATCAACTCGCCCGCACTCCCTCTCCCTGCCAGTCACGCTCGACAGCAGCAACCCCCTGCTGCCATTCGTGATTGGGCCCGCTCTTCCCCTGCTCTGAGGGGCAGAAGGTGGGGGAGGAAAAGGGAGAGGAGGAAAAGGGAGAGGAGGAGAAGGGAGAGGAGGAAAAGGGAGAGGAGGAAAAGGGAGAGGAGGAAAAGGGAGAGGAGGAAAAGGGAGAGGAGGAAAAGGGAGAGGAGGAGAAGGGAGAGGAAGAGAAGGGAGAGGAGGAGAAGGGAGAGGAGGAGAAGGGAGAGGAAGAGAAGGGAGAGGAGAAGGGAGAGGAGGAGAAGGGAGAGGAGGAGAAGAGGGGATGAGGAGGAATCATTTTGACCTGCACTCCCTCTCCCTGCCAGTCACACTCGACAGCAGCCACCCCCAGCTGCCATCCGTGATGGGGCCCGCTCCCCCTCCACTCTGAGGGGCACGAGAGGGAGGAGCAGAAGGGGGAAGGACGAGGAAAAAAAGGAAGAAATTACTTTGTTTTGACTCAAACGACAACAAGCCCGCACTCTCTCTCCCTGCTTGTCACACTCCACACCAGCCACCCCCTGCTGCCATTCGCGATAGGGCCCGCGCCCCCCCACCCTCTGAGGGGGGCGGGAAGGGGGAGCAGCAGGAGGGAGAGGAGGAGAATCGAGAGGATGAGGAGGAATCATTTTGACCCGCACTTCCCCTCCCTGCCTGTCACACTCCACACCAGCCACCCCTTGCTGCCATTCGCGATGGGCACCACTCAGGAGCAGGGGGGGAGCAGAAGGGGGGGAGGAGCAGCAGCAGGATGGGCGGCACCTGCGACTGCACTCTCACGTGCACTCTCACGTGCACTCTCACCTGCACTCTCACCTGCACCTGCACTCTCACCTGCACTCTCACCTGCGCCTGCACTCTCGCCTGCTCCTTCACCTGCACTCTCGCCTCCCTGCCTGCTGCTGCCGCCGCTTTTTGAGGCGCCTCAAAAAGGGTTTCGGGTTTTGGTTGCTTGGCAACCGAGATTCGTGGACCGGGAAGGGGGGGGGGGAGGGAAGAGAGACGGCGGGGGCGGGGGGGGGAAGGGGGACAGCGGGCGACCCAAGCCGGACAGGTGAGGACCAGAGGAGAGAGGCGACAGCGGTAAATTCCGCTCTGTGTAAAACGAAGTGCTCAAAAAGCGATCTCAGGACCAGAGGAGAGACCGTGGTGGGAGGAGGAGTCGAGAAGGAGGGAGGGAAGACGGAGGTGTGTGCCGGACGGGGAGGAAAGGGCGCGAAAGGAAAAAGGGGGGAAGGGGAAAGGGGGGAAGCGGAAGGGTGGGAAGTGGAGCGGATCGGACCCGTGCGCGCTCGCCGCCGAGATCACAGAGGCGACGCGGAACGGATGCTGCCGTGACTCGCGACTGCTAAGCGACTGAAACGCGCCTGAAACGCGACTGGAGAATCGTCGCTTATGAGCGTCGTTATTCGTCTCAGCGCCACAGAACGCATCGTTACACGCCTGGCGGTTTTTGGTTACTAATGTGTCGCGACATAATTCTAATGGCTCACAGCGTTCAGGTATCGCGACTTGTGGCGCTTCGATTTGCCCCGACCTCCATTACCACTCCGATTGCCCTCCGCCTCGCGCTTTCCGCGACCCATGTGCAATTCTATGCCGGCAAACGAGCATGAAAGGCAAATGCCGAGTGGCACCATGTCGGACGAATTTAATTTTACTTATAAAATTAATTTGTAATAATCTACAGGACTAGTAGCACAATCCTCTAATCAACTTGCATGATTGTGGGTTCAACTCCCACCTGGTCCTTTTCTTCTTTCCTCCATCCATCCCCAGGTGTCGCTTTCATTCGGATACAATTTGAATATAACCGTTTACTACGCTGTGGCATCCTTATTTGATGGCATCCTCGTTATTCAATCCATTTTTGTTTTTGGCCTGAATAGTCAGGTCATGATTCAGACGTGCGTGCGTGTGGGGCAGCAAGCGTGTGTGTGGCAACTTTGCCCTTGTAGCGAGCGTGTTTCGGATCATAATGCAGCGAGCGAGTGAGCGTGTGTGTGGCAAATTTGCCCTCGTAGGCACCTCTTCCAGTCATCTCCATCTCTTCCACCTGCAGTCAGCACCACAACACCGAGTGGCCTACCAGTCAGCACGAACAATTTGTGTTTAGCTGCCCCTTGTTTCTCTCCTCCCCTCCCCTCCAACACCAGGCGTGTACTGCCAGCATGTGTGGCAACTTTGCATTAGTCGGCACCTCCTCGGGTCATCTCCATCTCTTCGACCCGAAGTCAGCACGGCACCGCGTGACGTACCAGTGGAAGAAAATGCGTCCTCACTCCCCCTCCTCTGTGCCCTTCCCCTCCAACACCAGGCGTGTGCTGCCAGCATGTGTGGCAACTTTGCCCTAGCCGGGACATCAGCGGGTCATCTGCATCTCTTCCACCTACAGTCACCACGGCACCGTGTGACGTACCAGTCAGAGAAGCACCAATACAGCCCACTCTTGGCTTCCCCTCTTCTCTTTCCTCCCATTTCCAATGCACCAGGCGTGTGCTGCCAGCATGTGCGGAAACTTTGCTCTAGTCGGCACCTCAGCGGTGATCTGCATCTCTTCCACCTACAGTCTCCATCTGTCCCCCTGTCTCTCTCTCCTTTCCTTACCGGGCCCGTGCTAACACCAGGCGTGTGCCGCCAGCATGTGCGGCAACTTTGCAGCATGTGCTACCGCTCCAGCCCCTGCTGTCCCCGCTTCAGCCCCTGCTAGCGCCGCTACAGCCCTGCTGCTGCCGCTACAGCCGATGCTGCTGCCGCTACAGCCCTGATTCTGCCGCTGCCGCCCTTGCTGCTGCCACTATAGCCCTACTGCTGCCGCTACAGCCCTGCTGCTGCCGCTATAGCCCTGCTGCTACGGCTACAGCCCCTGCTGTCGTCGCTACAGCCCCTGCTAGCGCCGCTACAACCCTGCTGCTGCCGCTACAGCCCTGCTGCTGCCGCTACAGCCCCTGCTGCTGCCGCTACAACCCTGCTGCTACGGCTACAGCCCCTGCTGTCGTCGCTACAGCCCCTGCTAGCGTCGCTACAGCCCTGTTGCTGCAGCTACAGCCCTGCTGCTGCTGCTGCTACAGCCCCTGCTGCTGCCGCTACAGCCCTTGCTGCTGCCGCTACAGCCCTGCTGCTGCTGCTGCTGCTACAGCTCTGCTGCTGCCGCTACAGCCCTGCTGCTGCCGCTATGGCTCCTTGCTGCTGCCGCTACAGCCCCTGCTAGCACTTCTGCTTGCCTTGCCCATCTGCTGCCTTGCGTGCTGCGCATGCCCGCGTGCGCTGCCCTGCCCTGCCCGTGTGCAGCCCCCCGAGCCGCGCCTGCCGCCCCGCTGCAGCTATAGCTACCACTGCTGCCCTTGCTCCGCTGCTGCTGACTCCCGCTGCCCATCATGGCCTTAGTGGCGGTATCGGACGGACAGCCTTGCCTACACACAGTGGACGGAGCACGACGCTGTCACACAGCTTGCCGTCCGAGCTCACCTGCCGGTCGACCAGAGGGACCACTTTTGTCAGGTGACGTCGGTCAGACTTTGTTCTCCCGTGTCCGACAGCCCCCTCTGGCTCACTCAAAGGTCTCCACCTCCCCTCGTTTGCTACAAACTTGGTTAGTAACAATTGGCCACTACCACTACTCCTGGAGGTGAGCTTGTGACGATCTGTACGGGCTCACGGACTAGCGCCCACCTCGTCACGTTCACACGGAGACCCAGGTCTGGCCTGTACACACTGACCACTGAGTTCGCACATGTAGCTGCGTCGGTCACGTAGCTGCATGTTGCACGTGTCGGGTACTCACCCACCCGTCTCTCCTCTGGCACCACCGTCTAGGTCACCCCTCCTGCCGCGTCTGCGTAGCATGCACTCCTATCTCCTTGTCGCTGGCCTCCTTAGGTCCTTGCCCCCGCTCCCTTGGTCGCTTACGCCGCCGTGCCTTCTCAGCGTTGAGGGGCGGCAGCGCACCGTTTCTCACTCCTCCTCGTTTCCACCGACCACTGCTCCTCTGTAGACTCTCCACATGGGCGTGTGGAGCCCCGCCCGTGTCAGTGGACAGGACAACGAGCGCTACTTTCTGCTTGTTGACAACTACACGCGCTACACCAAGGTCTTCCCCTTGCAGAGCAAGGCGGATGTCCGCGGTGTCTTAATCCCTTGGATCCGCACTATCCGTTGCCAGCTGGGCGCACGATTCCGGCAAGACCTTCAGGTCGTGCGTCTGCACTCTGACAGAGGTGGTGAGTTTTCCTCCCACCTCCTTGAGGACTTTTGTGGAGGGCATCGCCCAGTCGTTCACGCTTCCGGCCACTCCACAGCATAATGGGACTACTGAGCGCCGCATTGGCTTGATCATGGAGGGAGGTTGTTCGCACTTCCATGATCCATGCAGCTGCTCCCCATTTTCTGTGGCCGTTTGCAGTTTGATACACCATGCATCAGCTCAACCTCTAGCCCCGTGTCTCCGTGCCACAGACCTCGCCTAGACTGCGTTGGACGGGGGAGGTTGGCGATGCGTTGGCGTTCCGGGTCTTGGTTTCGCATGCCCTTGTCTGCGATGCCACATCAGACAAGCTCTCTTCTCGCACCATTCGCTGCGACTTCCTTGGCTTTCCCACCTACGCGCCTGGCTTTCCCCACCTATGCACCTGACCACCACTCCACCATGCTTCGCGTCCTGTCCTCCCATGACGTCACCTTTGATGAGTCGGTTTGCTACTACCGTCTTTCCCCCCACGTGTCTTCTCCTGTCCCCCCGCCGCCTCTCTTCCTGCTTCTAGGTCCTCCTCCAATAGACCCCCTTCCCCCACAGGGCCCTGCTCCCTCATGTGTGTCTCATGTTGACCCGCTCCCCTTGGTTGAGCCTTTGGAGGTCTCCTCTGATACCTCTGGCCCAGCTGAGGGGGGGTGACCACACTGCTGACAGCACAGTAACCACTCGCCGCTCACCGCGCTTGGAGACCCCTCCTGGTTTTCCATCTTGGACGTCTTCGCCGCCTCTGCAGCCTGCTGGTGTGGACTCCGGTGCTGTTGGGGGTGGTGAGATTGGAGGTGCGGACTCTGGTGGTGCTGGTTCTACGGGTGCTGAGTCTGGGGGTGCTTGTTCAGGGGGAGTGGAGCGTCCTGGTGTTAATGGAGTCGTGGGTGCTCCTGCTGGAGGTTCTGGGGGTGGACAGCAGAAGCAGCCTCGCCGGTAGGAGCCTCTCTCGCCGCGGCAGCTTCGTGAGTGGCTTGTTAGGCAAGGCTGCTCTGGTGATGATACTGGAGGCGCTGGTGCTGGAGCTGGAGGTGCTGGTGCTAGGGATGCTGGTGCTAGAGGTGCTGATGGTTGAGGTACTGGAGCTAGCAGTGCTGGAGGTACTGGAGCTGTAGGTGCTGGAGGTGGTGGAGGTGGAGGTGCTAGAGGTGCTGGTGCCGGAGGTGCTGGAGGTACTGCAAAGCAGCGACCGTTTTTCTTGCCTCAGGCGTAGTCGTCGCTTCCACAAACTTGCTCGGCGCTCCACCAGGTTCTTAGTCTTCCGTCCTCCACTCGCCTTACTCTACCTCTCCTGTGTCATCCACCTGACACGTCACAGTTGCAATACAGCCTTCCTCACCATTGCCTACTCCTCCTCCTTACACTGAGCAGACAGACTCCCTGACAGAGCGTCGTGAGCCTGCGTCTCGTACGACCTCGCTTGTTTGCACTGGTCGTCGTGTTTCTCGTTTTCGTGCTCCACCAGTCCATGACACTCACACAGTGGCACTTCGTCCTTCCTCTGTTCCACAGCATGTTCACTCGTCGTCTCCTCCGGCGTCCTTTCTTCCTGATGTTTCTGACCCTGAGTCTCACCTTGCTCGTGCTGCTAGTTCTACTATCACGCGTCTCCTGGACACTGTTGTCACTGACCCTACATTTGAGTCTATTGCCACGTCTGCCTTAGTCACTTAGCTCGTTGACTTTGCTGCTACGTGACGACTTGACTACTTCGCAACTCTTGTTACTGAGTCTAAGTCAGACTGTCCTCCGTCCATCGGGGGTAAGCTTGCTCTTGGCAGTGACGTCCTTGTGTTAGAATCTTAGGCGAGAATGTTTGACTAGGAAAAGGGAAGGGGTACAAGTAGAATGTCGAGAGAAACTTTGTACCCCCTAAGGCTAAACCCACTATAGCCTAGACAACTATGAACACATAAACTAAGCCTAGATATAACTAGGCATATATGTTTGACACACCCCCATAGGCGAAGTGGGGGATAGCCAAAACAAGCAATGGTCACAAGACCAGTCAAGAGAAGAAGCAAAGCAAAGCAAGCTCAGGGTGGATCACAAAGTCACCACACAGTCCGAGCACAAGCAAAGGGCCACAAGGCCAGTTCACATGCAGAGTTATATAAAGAGAACAAACAATACAGTGATCATACCCTAACAAGTGCAAGCATGCAGGTATATAGATAGATCACAGTACAGGCAGAGCTAGGGGCATTCACAAAGGGCAAGTGAAGAGGAGGCTGGACTGTGAGAGGAAAGGAGATAGGAGGCGACTGCTGATGCTGTAGACACACGGGCAACAGGAGCGGTGCGCACTGTGGCTACCGGGGCCGTATCCCCGGACTACAGGAGTAACTGGCTCTGCGGCTAACTCTGAGCGGCAGGAGCAACGGACCCACAGGCGACTAGCGCAGCAGGCTCGCTGGGCTACCGGAGATTGTAGCCTCCGGACTACTGGCGCTGCTGGCGACACAACGGCTACCTCCGCTCAACCTCCCCCATAACTGTCCCACCCCCCTTTCACACACCCCTTGCTGCACCCCTAGCTCCACTCCCACGTCACCCCCCTAGCACCACTCCCTCGGCTCCCACACACCCACCCCCCTCAGCGGCAGCTGCAGCAGTGGGAGACGAAGGTGGAGGAGGAGGAGGGGATGGTTCACACACCCGCCACCCCCATACCCGCCACCCCGCAGTTGCACCCACACCCGCCACCCCCATACCCCCACCCCACTGCTGCACCTGCAGCAGGGGAAGGAAGAAGAAGGGAGGGGGGGGGGGGGGTTGGGGTGGGGGGGGGGGGGGTGGGGGGCTGTGCATGGCGCGTGCAGAGGGCAGCAGGGCGCGCACAGGGCAGCAGGGCGCACAGGGCGCAGCAGGGCTGCAGGGCGCGCGGGGCGCGCAGGGCAGCAGCAAGGGCTGTAGCGGCAGCAGCAGGGCAGTAGGGCGCACAGGGCTGCAGGGCAGCAGGACAGCAGGGCGCATAGGGCGCGCAGGGCTGCAGATCCCCTCCCCCCACCGCTGCACCCGCAGCAGGGGGGGGGGGGGGGGGCGGGGGGGGCTGGTGCTGCAGATCCCCTCCCCCCCACTGCACCTCCAAGCTCCCCCCCTTCCCAACACAGGGTGCGGCAGGGAGAGAGAGAGGAGAAAAGGGCGGAGAGGGGGGGGGGGGGGGGGGGGGGGGGCTGATGCTGCAAATCCCCTCCCCCCACTGCTGATGCAGATCCCCTCCCCCCACTGCTGCACCCGCAGCAAGGGTGGAGGAGAAGGGGGGGGGGGGGGGGGGGGGAGGGCGGGGGGGGGGGGCTGGTGCTGCAGGTCCCCTCCCCCCACTGCTGCATCCGCAGCAGGGGGATGGCAGATCCCTTCCCCCCCACTGCGGCACCCGCAGCAGGGGGAGGGAGAGGAGAAAAGGGCGGAGAGGAGGGGGGGGGGGGGCTGGTGCTGCAGGTCCCCTTCCCCCACTGCCGCATCCGCAGCAGGGGGATGGCAAATCCCCTCCCCCCCACTGCTGTACCCGCAGCAGGGGGAGGTAGGAGAAGGGTGGGGGACCTGGTGCTGCAGATCCCCTCCTGCCTCCCCCTGAACCTCCAAGCTTCCCCCCCCTCTCCCCGCCATCCCCATGGAGGGGGGGGGGGGGGGGGGGGGGCTGGTGCCGCAGATCCCCTGTGCAGCAGGGGGGAGGTAGGAGAAGGGGCGGTGCAGGAGCCGCTCGGGCGACAGCAGGTTGGCCACACCCGCCACCCCCATACCCTCCCCCCCACTGCTGCACCCGCAGCAGAGAGATGGAGGAGAAGGGGGGGGGGGGGGGGGGGGGGGGGGGCAGGTGCTGCAGGTCCCCTCCCCCCCTCTGCTGCTCCCGCAGCAGGGGGAGGTAGGAGAAAGGTGGGGGACCTGGTGCTGCAGATCCCCTCCTGCCTCCCCCTGAACCTCCAAGTTTTCTCCCCCTCTCCCCGCCATCCCCATGGAGGGGGGGGAGGGGGGGGGAGGGGGCCGGGGGCGGAGCTGCGCGTGCGACTGAAGGGCACGCGGGCAGGAGGAACCCCCTCTTGCCACCCCCTCACCCACCATGGCGCAACAGGGCACCGGGGCCGCGGTTAGGGGCGGCAGGTCGCGAGGGGCCATGGCTAGGGGCGACGGGGCCATGGCTAGGGGCGACGGGGCCGGGCGCTGGGCAGGTACGGGGCCAGGCGCTGAGCAGGGACTGGGCCGGGCGCTGGGCAGGTACGTGGCCGGGCGCTGGGCAGGAATGGGGCCAGGCGCTGGGCAGGGACTGGGCCGGGCGCTGGGCAGGTACGGGGCCAGGCGCTGGGCAGGTACTGGGCCGGTCGCTGGGCAGGTATGGGGCCGGGCGCTGGGCAGGTACGGGGCCTGGCGCTGGGCAGGTACGGGGCCGGGCGCTGGGCAGGTACGGGGCCGGGCGCTGGGCAGGTACGGGGCCTGGCGCTGGGCAGGTACGGGGCCGGGCGCTGGGCAGGTACGGGGCCGGGCGCTGGGCAGGTACGGGGCCGGGCGCTGGGCGCGGAATGGGGCCGGGCGCAGGGCTAGGTACGGGGCCGGGCGCGGGCAAGAGACGGGGCCGGGCGCTGGGCGAAGGACGGGGCCAGGCGCGGGCTTGGTACGGGCCGGGCGCGGGCTAGGTACGGGGCCAGGCGCGGGCGAGGTACGGGCCGGGCGTGGGGCTAGGAACGGGGCCGAGTGCGGGCTAGGTACGGGCCGGGCGCGAGGCTAGGTACGGGCCGGGCGACGGGCTAGGTACGGGCCGGGCGTCGGGCTAGGTACGGGCCGGGCGCGGGCAGGAGACGGGGCCGGGCGACGGGCTAGGTACGGGCCGGGCGACGGGCTAGGTACGGGCCGGGCGCGGGCGACGAAGTCGACGGGGCCAGCGGGGCCGAGGCGACGGGGCCAAGGGGCCGAGCCTAGGGGCTAGGGGCGACGCCAAGGGGCGACGGGCCGGGGCCTAGGCTAGCAGGGCAGTAGGTGGTGGGCCCATTAGCATTAGGTCCTAGGACTAATTGCTCTTAATACCATGTTAGAATCTTAGGCGAGAATGTTTGACTAGGAAAAGGGAAGGGGTACAAGTAGAATGTCGAGAGAAACTTTGTACCCCCTAAGGCTAAACCCACTATGGCCTAGACAACTATAAACACATAAACTAAGCCTAGATATAACTAGGCATATATGTTTGACACCTTGAGGACAAGCAGTTTTAGCTCGAGTGCCTAGCGGCTGCTGTACCTCATCTTGCTTCCATGCTGCTTTGCTCTGAGGGAGACATGAATGCACTAGACATCCCGACCCCGCGCTCTTACGCAGAGGCGATCTCAGGTCCATACTCCTCTCAGTGGCAGACAACCATGGATGCAGAGATGGCTTCCAAGAAGTCCAGAGGCACCTATGTCGATACATTTCCCCTTTCTGGGGCGAACACAGTCAATGGCATGTGGATTTTCGGGGTGAAGAGGCCTGGCTTTAAGGCACGTTACGTTGCACGAGGCTTCAGTACGCGACAGAGAGTCGACTACTTCCATATCTTCTCCCCCACCCCGAATATGACCATTCTTCGAATGTTACTGCACGTTGCAGTACAGCGTGACCATGAGCTCCACTCGCTTGACTTCTCCTCAGCTTTCTTGCAGGGCAGCCTTGACGAGGAGATCTGGCTGCGCTGCCCATCGGGCTTCACAGGGTCATTTCCTGAGGGTACCCAATGAAGCCTCCGGTGGCCAGTCCACGGTCTTGGCCAGGCGCCCCGCGAGTGGCACGACACACTGAGGACTGCAATTGCAGCTCTTAGGTTTGCTCCTTCAACTGCTGACCCGTCGCTGTTTCTACGCACCGACCCTTCTCTGCCAAATTCTACATCGTCGTGTACGTCGACGAGTTGGTCTTCACTACTGCTGGCACTGAGGCACTGGCCCTTGTGAAGGCGGAGCTGTCAGAATGTTATAGTGCTTACATTTGTGTAGGCTATAGTGGGGTAGCCCATAAGGGGTACAACCCAATTAGGGTTAGTACTTGTACCCAACTCTTTCTTAGTTCATTCATTCTTGTTCATTCTTTTGACATGGTTTCAGAGCAGGTCCTTCGCTAGGACCTTTTTTTTTCCTTGGGCCCACCACTGCGCTGCCCCACTAGCCGCCCCTAGCGACCCTCGTGCCGCACCTGCTGCCCAGCGCGCCGCCCTCGCGCGGCTTGTCGCCCCTAGCCCGGCCCGTCGCCCCTAGGCCCGTCGCCCCTAGGCCGGCCCGTCGCCCCTAGCCCGGCCCGTAGGCCCGTCGCCCCTAGCCCGGCCCGTCGCCCCTAGGCCCGTCGCCCCGGCCCATCGCCCCTAGGCCCGTCGCCCCGGCCCGTCACTCCTAGGCCCGTCGCCCCTAGGCCGGCCCGTCGCCCCTAGCCCGGCCCGTAGGCCCGTCGCCCCTAGCCCAACCCGTAGGCCCGTCGCCCCTAGCCTGGCCCGTAGACCCGTCGCCCCTAGCCAGGCCTATCGCCCCTAGCCAGGCCCGTCGCCCCTAGGCCCGTCGCCCCGGCCCGTCGCCCCTAGGCCCGTCGCCCCTAGCCCGGCCCGTCGCCCCTAGGCCTGTCGCCCCGGCCCGTTGCCCCTACGCCCGGACCGTTGCCCCTAGGCCAGTCGCCCCGGCCCGTCGCCCGACGCCCCTAGGCCCGCGACCGACGCACCTAGGCCGCGGCCCCATCGACCGTCGCTCCTAGCCCCGGCCCGTCGCCCAACGCCCCTAGGCCCCGGCCCGACGCCAGTCGCCCCTAGGCCCGTCGCCCCTAGGCCCCGGCCCCGGCCCGTCACCCGTCGCCCGTCGCCCAGAGCCCGTTGCCCCTAGGCCTCGACCCGACAGTCGACCACAGGCCCCGCGAGCTGCCCCTTGCGGCCCGCCCCTCTACCCTGCAGCCCGCGAGCCGCCCTTACAGCCCCGCGAGCCGCCCTTGGTGGCCCTCTTGCTGCCCCTGCTGCTCTGCTAGCCGCCCCTTGCGGCCCTCTCACTTCTCCTTGCTGCTGCCTGCCCTGTGCTCTGCGCTGCCCTGCTTCTCCTCGCTCTGCGTGCTGCGCCACTATGGCTTCTATCCGCGTGCTAGGGTTCGATCATTAGGGACTCCCCCTACAGTTTGACACGTGGCTCGACGACCTGCAGCTGTACCTACTGAGCGACTCTAGGGACAGTGTTTCGTTGTTTGACCACACGTCTGGCGCCGCTCCCGCCCCTCCCGCCACAGCTGACAGTGCGACCCGCTCAAAGTGGCTGACTCGCGACGCTGCTGCCCGCTTAGCCATTCGCAACCACCTCCCGTTGGCCGAATGCGCTCACTTCGGACAGCACAGGACAGCACAGGCACTGTACCACGCTGTCGTCGCTCGCTACTCCTCGCCTTCCACTACTGCTCTAGGCCGCCTCCTACTGCCCTACCTGCTCCCCGAGCTGTCTGCCTTTGCCACAGTAGAGGACCTCGTTTCCCACCTTCGCAGTAGCGACGCTCGCTACCATGCTGCCACCCCAGCTGAGCTCCTTGACAGGAACCAGCCCCCGATGTTCATCACTCTCTACTTTATAGTCACTCGCATCCCTGACTCTCTTCGCTCTGTCATGGACCACTTTCTCTCCCTCGACCCCACAGTCCTCGTTATTGACCTACTCGAGCAGCATCTCCTTGCAGGTGAGACTAGTATAGTCGCTGTAGGTGCTGCTCGTGGCATTCTTCTTTGAGGGGTGCTCCCCTCCCCCCTTGCCCCCTCCTACGCCTCTGCTGCTGCTGTAGACGTCCCTAGTACTGAGGACGTCAGGGCTGCTTCTGGTAGTGCGAAGCGCCACAGCAGCAAGGGCAAGGGTGGCAGGGGTGGTGGCGGGGGCAGCGGGAGTGGTGGTGGGGGCAGCAGTGGAGGTGGTGGAGGCAGTGGAGGTGGTGGCAGCGGTGGGAGTGGTGGCGGGAGTGGGGGCTTTGGTGGCGGCGGTGGAGGCAGCGGTGGGAGTGGCGGTAGTGGCAGCGGTGGGAGTGGTGGCGGTAGGACTAGAGCTCAGCGTGGAGGTTATGGAGGAGGCCAGCGGCAGCGGCAGCAGCGTCGGAGCGAGACCCCATCGCCCCAGCAGCTTCGTGAGTGGTTGTTTCAGTGTGGGGCGTCTGGGGGTAGTGTGAGCTGCCCGTATGTCATTCGCACGGGTGATCGTGCTGATCAGACATGCGGGAAGCCTCACACTCAGCACCGCTGCTTCTCCCGCCTCGACGACGCTTGGCGCGCTGAGTTTGGTGACGAGGTCGAGCGCCCCCACTGGGCAGAGCTGCTTAGGTCTAGAGTTGCGATCTTTGACCTAGACTATGATGCTATGCTTTCTGCTATGTATGGTTTGTCTGCTAGTGCTGAGGGTGACTGTTATCGGTGTGTGCCGCCTGACCCAGGTATAGAGGTTGCTGCTCTAGGTGCTAGTGAGTCTTCTCTCCCTGGTACTGCGCCTGCTGAGGCCTTGCACACCTTCACGCTGGACTCAGGTGCCTCACGCTGTTTCTTTCGTGACAACACCACCCTCACTCCTCTCCCTGCACCTATTCCGGTCAGACTGGCTGACCCCTCCGGGGGCCCAGTCGTTGCCCGTTCCTCCACTGTTCTCCCGTGTCCGGCGGTTCCATCCAGCTCACTGTCAGGTCTTCACCTCCCCTCGTTCTCTACGAACTTGGTGAGTACTGCGGCCCTCCAGGATTTGATGGTCACTACCACCACTCCTGGGGGTCAGCGTGTGTCGATCTGCACCTGTACACGGACGGGTCGTCACCTGGCCAAGTTCACTCGTCGGCCAGGGTCGAGTATGTACACACTTGCTACCGAGCCTCCTCAGGTAGCTGCATCTGCCCAGGTGTCCGCGTCAGGTCAGGTAGCACCCCCTTGCTCGTGTCGCCACCTGACGCACCGGACTCTCCTCTGGCACGGTCACCCCTCCCTGCCACGCCTGCGTGGCATGCACTCCCGCCTCCTTGTCTTTGGTCTTCCCCGGTCTCTGCCTCCCCTCCTGCCCTCGCCTGCCCCGCCCTGCCTTCCTTGCGTCGAGGGGCGGCAGCACGCCGCTCCTCACTCCTCGTTTCCCCCGACGACTGCTCCCCTGCAGACTCTCCACATGGACGTGTGGGGCATAGCCCGCATCAGTGGACAGGGCCGCAAGCGCTACTTTCTGCTGGTCGTTGACGACTACACGCGGTACACCACGGTCTTCCCCTTGCGCAGCAAGGGTCAGGTCGTTGATGTCTTGATCCCTTGGATCTGCGCTGTACGTCTCCATCTCCGCGAGCGGTTTAGCTAGGACCTTCCTGTCCTGGGTCTGCACTCTGACAGAGCTGGTGAGTTCTCCTCCGACCTCTTGCGGGAATTTTGTCGTGGGGAGGGCATTCTCCAGTCGTTCACGCTTTCGGACTCCTCTCAGCAAAATAGGATTGCTAAGCGCCGCATTGGCTTAGTCATGGAGGTCGCTCGTACCTCCATGATCCATGCGGCTGCTCCCCAATTTCTGTGGCCGTTTGCGGTCCGGTACGCTGCGCATCAGCTCAACCTCTGGCCCCGTGTCTCCTTGCCGGAGACCTCGCCCACACTGCGTTGGACGGGGGAGGTTGGCGATGCGTCGGTGTTCTGGGTCTGGGGCTCTTGTGC